AATGTTATTTAAATAGATTTAAATTGAAAATCCAATCAGGTAGATGGAAATTCGCTTAGTCTGTAGGTTTGCTGTGGCGGGGGTATTTATTACCGTACTAAATTATTTATTTAATATAACAAATGTTTATTCACAGCCAGTGCAGAAATTTTCAAAAATATTATTGATCCAGAACAGTAAAGTGCGGTTTTTATAAGAACTCCAAATTATAGAGTTTTTATGTTCAATTTTTCAACCCAACTACTGGCTGTAGGAGTGAAGACTGGGACAAAACCTAAATGAAATGTTAATAAGCATTTTACATTTTAAAAATCTACACCAACACCCACACAAATTTAAATTTCTAGTAATAAAAAGAGTAATTTTTACATAACGAAAATTGCATGGATAAAGATATATCTATAATACATCTCACATACGAGTACATTTATGTTGCATGGGCAAACCACATAACGGGTTAAAGGTTTTCAACGTTTATGGCTAACATCGAAGTGGAGCAATAGCCAAGATATCTCTTCACTTTTACTGAATGTTGTGTTAGCAGATTCCTCCATTGCCTACGCCATCTCAGCAAAAAGTTCAGTTTGTTTATCTATTTTTGTTTATTTGTACTTTACGTGTGGCCGTAGGTGCAATAGTCCTAGTTAATAATCTCCTGTTTTGAATATACTGTATTTGGATTGCATGGCATAGCATTGACTCTACTAAGAAAAGGGAGTCTGCATCCGATTTTTCTTCATTACAACAAATTTGAACATCTAAAATAGGGTTCCAGAAATAAATCAGCTTAAACGACAAAGTCTTGAAACTAATTAATGATAATTTAACGGGAGGGTATTTTTGAATTAAGAACTACAAAATAAGTATTTAAGATATCACTTCTTGTCAAGTTTGTTAAAAAAATGTCTGTACTTAAGTTCAACCCGTTTTCAAAGAAGGTGGTAAACGCCAAACGGTTGAACCAAGGCCGCACTAGATTGCGGCCTTGGTTGAACACGTTTCTAATATGCCAAATACACATTTTAAAACACATCGCTCAACAATTAATATTCCCAAAAAATTTAAAACTCAAAATAAACGGTTAAATCGTAAAAAACTGCGAACGCCCTAAAATGTACTGATCGCGAAAGTTTGATGATAGACGCTATTAAATATCCAGCACCAAGATAATGTGTTGAAACCTTTCCCAAACGTGCCTCCAATAGTCACTATCTTTATTTGACCATGCTGTGAATGTATACAAAAGCACATAGCGTATTTGAATACACACGTATTAAATGTTTGATCACAATGCATTTCGTTACGACCGCGAAACCTACGACTTGGACTAAACGAGTTAAATCTACCACTTGTACCTTGCGACGCCCTTACTACAACCGTAACCATAAACAAAGAAAATCTGACAGAACAGGAGTGGAATGGAATATAAAGAATACAATAAACAGCAGATATATCGGAGGGCCATAGACATAGGCACTCTACAAGGTATGGATCACACCGTTACCGTGTAAACTGCGGTGTAAACCGAATCGCACCCTGTTGGCGACAAAGGAGGTTCCAGGTCTTTACGATAGCCTTTCTACACACTCCCATACAGTCTTGAAGGGGTCTGTATTACCTCTTGGAATAATTAAAATTAAAGTTTGAAAGTGTAAGAAACATATTTCCAAATTCTTTGATATTATTTTTACCTCCGTATTTAAATGATGTTCAAACACACAGTTAGTTGAACTTAGTGATGCACCAATAGTACAGGTTTGTTGTAAAATCTATATCTATAAAAGAGGAACTATGTATGTGTGTATATATGTATATACATTATGGACTCCGAAACCGCTCGACAGATTGTAATGAAACTTTCAGGCATTATTAAGCATCTTTCAAGGATGGTTCAAGTGAAGTTTGGTGCAGATCCGTCAAAAGGGCCCTGCCCCAGAGGGTTTTAAGTGGGCCAATGTCAGACTTTTTGATCTACAATGTTTACAAATCTTCTATCTATAATATTAAAACGAAACGGTGTTTTTTTATTTCACGATTCTGAATCAACCACTCGGCGGATTTTCATGATTTTTGTGTTGAAAGAAAGATAATTTTGAGAGCTAGGGAATGTCGAAGCCATAATTTTAGTTTAGGGTCTCAGTTTTTTATAAATTAAGTTTTAATTTTTAAAAAGTCTAGCAGCCGACGCTAGCAATTCAAAGTATTTTCAGTGCTGGTTAAACTAACAGCTGATTATAAACTGTCATTGAAATGTTTATGTTACAAGTTGTTTGTATACAAAAATATTGTTCTTCGGTGTTGGCCTGCATACTATTTCACTTTAAAATTTAGTTTTTTTTCTACCGTGAAGGATCTGCTTTATCAGGAAATGTGTTATTTTGATCTATACATCTCAAACAGTTTAATCAAGTTTTGTCGTAAATGCAAACTGTGTAAGTAAGTTATTTAGTTTATGCCATGGAAATTTCATCTGATATTTGGGAAATTTTTTTTCAGAAATTTATTGCTTAATCGTTTAAGATATAAGTGGTTTACGTGTTGATACTTCTTTTTCTGTATGTCCGAATTTATGTGAGTCATACTATAATTTTGGTTTGTAATGAAAGCGTCAATTGGTGTAGTAGGTCTCTACAAAACTGTCTAATGAGCTGCAAGGTGCAGTAGAAACCAAAGTCGACTCATACCATACCATAATTCTCCCCGTAGTATTGAAAAGTGCAGACAAAATATACAGACCAGTTCAAGATAACGGAGGTCGAGATACAAACAAACAGAGAGCTAAGAGAAATGTGTAAACACCCAGATATAGGGGTGCTTTCCAGAAGTAAAAGGCTTGGATGGGCAGGCTATGCGTGGTGGATAGGAGATAAATCAACTTTTAAAAGTATATTCCATCGTACCACAAGATAAAAGACCACTTGGAAGACCAAGAATTAAGTGGAAAGACCAAGTTATGAAATACATCCTCAGACCGGGATCTAAATTAGAAGAGACAGTGGATAGAAGAGAATGGGTGGCCAGAATCCTCATAAGGTGTCAGTCTGTGGTCACGGAGGTAAAGGTGCGGCAAGTACATATATAAGTTGTATATGCAATTGTTGCAACTCTACTCAATACCAGTGTGTGTGAATCGGTCTCCAATCTCGCTTCAAGTTTTTTTTTCAAATCGACGTAAGTTAACTGCTATTTTATGGTAAAATTATCGAATTTAAAATGCATATCGCTATATTTTAGGTCTATAATCGGATGGAAGAAAGACGAGGTAGTCACGTGAAATTTGTTAATAAGGTCAACAACTAAAAAATAACAATTGATTGTTAATTAGGTTGTTTTGGGGGCAGTTGGCCCCCATTAAAACTGCCAGAATTTGTCACTGTGCGTGTAAACTAGATGTTCTGAACCATTCCGTTTTAATTGACTACTCGATTCCCGTACGTAGGACGGGCCAACAGCTCATAAATATAATTTAAAATCAGATGTTTACTTTTACCAACACTGTTTTGTAGGTTTGAATAATCACAACATTCTGTATTAGCATTAGTCATGATTTGAAATAGTGCCACAGTGTTTCTACAGAGTGCAGCACAGAAAACTATTTTACTTTTGAATAAGTACAAATGTATTAAACCCCAATCGCAGCACACCTGTGCACATAACGACGTTTAAATTCTCTTATGTTAAATATTAAAACATAAAAACCTTTATCAAAGTATTATAAACAATAAAAGGGATGTCAATGACTTAATATTTTTATCTTTCCACGCAATATAAAAGGCAAAGTCCTCACTGACTCACTCACTCACTCATCACTAATTCTCCCACTTTCCATTTACCTAGGAGGCTGAAATTCTGTACACCGATTCTTTGGGCATTAAATAGGAAAACTAAGTAGTTTTTATTCTGATCGGCCTTTCGGGCTCCGCCCCAGTGGCTCTAGAGTTTCCCATGTTAACCTCATGATTTTCCATATTAAAAAGGAATTAATGAATCCTAACAGCTTTTCAATTAAACAAGTTGGTTCTGTTCTGTGATGTTCAATAGCATTAAAGTTACAAGGATTACCAACAGGGTGCAGCACTATTATTTTTTTAAATTTATGACAACAGCTAATTTGCAACCAAAAGGTGAGTGAGGGTAGCGAACGAACATCAACTTGGAGGCGAGTTAGCGTAGCGAACGAGCTAACCTGAAAACAAGTGAGCTCCCAACAGCGAACGAGCTCCAACCTAAGGTGAGTGAGCGTAGCGCACGAACTTCAACCAGGACGTGATTGAGCCATGCGAATACTTATGAAGTTAAACGGGGCAAAGCCCGCGGGTACAGCTAGTCTTTAATATTGATGATAGGTGAATCCCTGAGGATAAAAAAAAACATAATTAGCGAAGCGTTGCTTTACTTAATTCTGAAAAATTATAAACTTGATCTCTCAAGAAATGGTACTGTACACTAGATGGTTTTGAAAAATGGTTTGGAATCATCAATTGAGTTGGGGACGGAGTGAAGGATGAGTGTAGAATGGAGTGAAATATCTGTGTGGCTTTGTTAGTGGACAGGATCAGCCCAATGATCAGAGACAGCTGGGTCCAGTTTTGAACCATGAAATTCCGATGAAAGGGTATCAAACAAAATATTGGGGACATTTTCCATCACGATTAGTAAAAACAAAGTGTTTACGAATTTTCCCGATCCTGAACCTAGTCCCTTCCTCAGGTAAGAAATCCCTAACCAAAGGCCAACCAACCAACCAAAGATGTCGCACAACACACGACTAATTGATGATCCACCAAGACACTCCTTATAACTGGTCATTTTACTGTTTGACTGTGCCAAAATATTTCAATATATATTTCAAAATGTTTCAACTATTAAGAGATAATAGTTCCGTACTGATACTTCGAACGTCGTTGTTTTACTTAAAATAATTCAAAGACTAATACAGTACTATGGCCTTATCTCTAAGATAAATTATAGAAAGAATTCTGCTTTTCGAATGTACTTACAACAGGCGAGACGAAAGATTGGCGATTCATGATTAACAGACGCTTGTTCCATCGTGGAGGTGCGACGCTGGGGTTGCGGACTCTACTCTGTTCTCGCAGCGCCTTGCGTATCCTGGCCTCCTTGGGGTTGTAGATATACCCTGCAACACGATACAATCATTAACAGACGCTTGTTCCATCGTGGAGGTGCGACGCTGGGGTTGCGGACTCTACTCTGTTCTCGCAGCGCCTTGCGTATCCTGCCTGGCCTCCTTGGGGTTGTAGATATACCCTGCAACACGATACAATCATTAACAGACGCTTGTTCCATCGTGGAGGTGCGACGCTGGGATTGCAGACTCTACTCTGTTCTCGCAGCGCCTTGCGTATCCTGCCTGGCCTCCTTGGGGTTGTAGATATACCCTGCAACACGATACAATCATTAACAGACGCTTGTTCCATCGTGGAGGTGCGACGCTGGGGTTGCGGACTCTACTCTGTTCTCGCAGCGCCTTGCGTATCCTGGCCTCCTTGGGGTTGTAGATATAGCCTGCAACACGATACAATCATTAACAGACGCTTGTTCCATCGTGGAGGTGCGACGCTGGGATTGCAGACTCTACTCTGTTCTCGCAGCGCCTTGCGTATCCTGGCCTCCTTGGGGTTGTATATATACCCTGCAACACGATACAATCATTAACAGACGCTTGTTCCATCGTGTAGGTGCGACGCTGGGGTTGCGGACTCTACTCTGTTCTCGCAGCGCCTTGCGTATCCTGGCCTCCTTGGGGTTGTAGATATACCCTGCAACACGATACAATCATTAACAGACGCTTGTTCCATCGTGGAGGTGCGACGCTGGGGTTGCGGACTCTACTCTGTTCTCGCAGCGCCTTGCGTATCCTGGCCTCCTTGGGGTTGTATATATACCCTGCAACACGATACAATCATTAACAGACGCTTGTTCCATCGTGGAGGTGCGACGCTGGGGTTGCGGACTCTACTCTGTTCTCGCAGCGCCTTGCGTATCCTGGCCTCCTTGGGGTTGTAGATATACCCTGTAACACGATACAATCATTAACAGACGCTTGTTCCATCGTGGAGGTGCGACGCTGGGGTTGCAGACTCTACTCTGTTCTCGCAGCGCCTTGCGTATCCTGGCCTCCTTGGGGTTGTATATATACCCTGCAACACGATACAATCATTAACAGACGCTTGTTCCATCGTGGAGGTGCGACGCTGGGGTTGCGGACTCTACTCTGTTCTCGCAGCGCCTTGCGTATCCTGGCCTCCTTGGGGTTGTAGATATACCCTGCAACACGATACAATCATTAACATACGCTTGTTCCATCGTGGAGGTGCGACGCTGGGGTTGCGGGGGTTACAAATGAAGCTTCGTTTCAAAGACACGTTTGGAAATAAATTTACATTGTAACGCTGCGAGAATGAGCTAATAAAGCGTTACAATATTTGCTCACTAGAACAAATTTGTTATTAGTTTATTTTCCATGGATTTATATTTATTCTTGTCAGTTTTAGTAAACTCGCTCATCATTCATTCAAATCCTGCTTGCATCTCCGTACTGATGATGTACTGATGTATGGTGATTTTTATTTGTCACATTAATTCATATTCACCCCCCTACTATTGATGCCTTGGGAGTAGAGATACTTTTTTATATTATTGATGTATTTTTATTTATGTTATATATATAAACATTAGTACAATTTTAGTTATCCCTATTGTCCAGTTAGCTTTGAGTCGAGTTGTAAAAAACCTAAAATCGAGTCTATATAATATATATATAGATGAGTGTAGAATGGGCTAATTTAGGTATCCTACAATATACACAGGTTTCATACAAAATAAACTTCTATCAGTTAAGAATTATTTTAGTTGGTAGATTTAGTTTTCATAGACCATTTATTTATAAGCGTTTTATAGTATCCTAAAACAGTTCTAATAGTCTTCTAATAGCTTTTTTTACGTGTTTTGCGTAATTTTAGTATCTTTGTCCGTGAATAGAAACAAGGTATGGCCACAGAATATGATACTTATGCTAGTGTATAAATCAGTTATTATCAATATATAACATGACCCATAATTACAGGAAAAACTCGTGGTGGAAGGAAGGAAAAACTGCTTCTATCATCAATGGTCTTTATAGAAAGCTGGAAACTTTATGTTACGAAGAATGCTGTTTTACTGTTTTAGTCAGCTGTACGAAAGCATAATTTTTAATACATTTGAAAACAAAAATACAGCAAATGTAAACATTGTAGTTTTCTATTTTGTACATTGAGACTAATAGGTATTTTCATTCCAAAACATTCTTTTAGAACTTTGAAACCCCAGGAAACAAGACAGAAATCATACCAGATATAGAAAGGTATACCAAAAACTTACAGTGTTGGATAAACTGTTTCGTAATGCATAAAGAACGTACATTCTACAGTAGTGCCTAAAATATATATGACAGTGCCTTTATCTGCGTTTTGTGACGGGGCATAAGCCTAACTTTTAGAATATTGAATACCCAGGGGCAGAAGTAGATCGAAATCGAAATATTAATAAGGCTTGGGAACCACTATAAATATATTCGCGCACTACTTGTACTGATTAGGTCCTTAGGGGTTTGCGTTATTGTTGAAAACAGACAGATGACGAGGGATGAGGTAGAGCTCTGGTTATTTAAAAGGGAATAATCTAATAGAGCTTATAATTTAGGTGGATTTAGCTGGATTTGTAAAGGTGGTTTTGCGTGTTAGAAAGACATATAGACCCCATATATTTTACATTTTTGTTCGTAGAGTATGTACGGGTTGGTGTAATGGTGTAAATGTAGTGGGTCGCGAGAGGGGCTACAGGCTACAGTCCGGCGTAAGATCGATCAATACGGTCACAACGCCGCCACCATACCACGTGTTCAACGTACCTCTTTTACCGCAGGTACTTACTGTGCATTGTTTTCTAAATAAAATAGAATAAATAGAATAAAATCAAATAAAAGATAGTGTGTTTACTACTTGAGATGTTTGCTAATCCTGTGATTTAGGACCGGGCGCGAGCCTAAGATGGTCGGAATATTACCTCAAGCTAAAACCAGGATAATAATCGCAGATCTTTTATCGAAAGGGTCTTGTAGTTATAGTAAGTAGGCTACCTTGTTCCAAGGAATAATTCATTACAATTTAGGTGCTATTTTATACAAGTACAAGAAAGACATTGGATTACAAAATACTCCTTTTGATAAATCCCGTTGCAAAAAACCTACTATCGCTCTATTTTACAGCTGCTTTATTCCATTTTATTTAAATAAGTCAATAGTAAAATGAAATTCACAGTAGACGCACACGAAATAGTAATAACATTAAACTGAAAACTAGTTTGACCAAAAGAAACACTATAATCTATGTGTTTTATATAGTTAAAAATCTACCTCTAAATAAAGGCATTCACCAAAGTTATTGCAAGACACAAACAAGCGGTTTTCGGTTCAAACGGCAGATTGTGAACACAGGACTTAAGTTTAATTCCAAAACCACAAGACCCGCAAGCTTAAATCCACTTTACAAGTGCCAAAATAAAAGTATTTGAGATTTCGATCAAGAATAGAGATTATACGTCTCGTTTACACCATCGATATTTATTATCTTATCATCCCAAACATACAAACAGTGCAGTATACTTTAACAATCAGAATTTAATAGTATTAAATAAATTAAAGAATACGTAAGTAGATTTTTAACCATCCATTTCAAATAAGTCCGAATTAATGATTTTAATCGCGATGATCATCGTTAAAGTATAGCATCAAACAAGGCACGTACAGGTCTTCAGGAAGTCTCAATTCTCTCAACTTGAGCCTCATGTCTGGTATACCGTTCTCATCCAAGGTCCATGTAGAGTTGAGAGTTCTCGTCTCGTACTTCCACGTGTACCCTGTGGCTGACGAGTTGAACATAGAGTATCGCTGCAATATCCTGTCCAGGGTGTCTTCCGAACAAACTTCCAAGGTCACCTCCTCCCCGGTGAGTGTGTTGTTGATCCTGATAGGTCGAGCGGCGCGGGTTACATACCCCACGACCAGGTCCACGTCGAACCACCATGGGAGAGTGTCCAGGGGTCTCCATTCCGAGGAAGGTACCTGGGGAAGTACATGAGGGACAGGCCCGTGAGGCGTGTAAGGCACTCGCACTCCGGTCACTGGATGAATGTGATGCTTAATTTCTCCTGTTCTGGGGTCGAACCAGTGGGAAATGTCTTTGCCAGCGAACGCTAACACAGGCATCACTTCTCTAGTTCCCTGATATTCTCGAACGAGAGGTGTCAAATCCCTCACAATCCCCAGAAAACTAACCCAGCAATCATTCTCGCTGTTGTGCACGACGACTTCTTTAGGGGTAAAGAAAGGAAGAGTCTTCCTTTTCAATTTTGACTTTAGTTCATCGAACCGGCTGGTTGGTTTTCTCTGGTTGCAAGTTAGCTTGAAAGTTAAGTAGTCGTTTTCACACATTTCGTAAACAAGGTAATGTAAAAAAACAAAGTCCAAAACGCGACGGTCCAAATTAGAAAAACACACAACAACATTTTTGTAAAGGATAAAATAAAATCATCTTTTTAACGATTGACAATTAATTGCGGTACTTTATATTTTGAAAAACAAAACATAACAAATACATTATTTTAATAGTAAATGGATCAGCTGGCCGAATGCCAAATTTTGGGTATAGTAAATTAGATCTCATTGTATTTTTTTCCATTTCTGAGGATGATAAAGACGTCTCTAAAATATTAATTACAAAATTATTTTAACCGTAAACGATTTCAAGCAAGGGCACAATTTTCCGTGATCTTTTAAATTATTTACTAAACATCAGCTGACAATGATCGAATCTTATTTGATTTGATTTTAAATTAAATCTCTTCAAATAACATTAGGTTAAACAAGCATAAACACCATAAACATATATATGAATTTGAACGGATGTTGTTTTTGGCTTCTAGGGACATCGAAATGAAAAAGTAAATCGGTCCCGGGTTCAAGTCTTACCATGAAACCTACGGTAATAGCTTATTCCCTATTTGGGAAATTCGCTAAAATGACACAAAGATACAATGTAACCTTTTCCTGAAACTTGCTCCAAAAGCTAGCTAGAAGGGATGTTGACACAGAAAATCGAACTAATGACTCCTATTTGGCAGAGAGCGTCCTTCACCTAAGGGTAGCAACAAGTGAACGAGATATTAGCCGCGCTGTCAATTATAACGTTCCGCCCACCGATTCATAATTCATTCCAACTGATTCCATCACTGGAAAAATGCTGGATATTATACGGAACTTAATACAGTTCTTCCAATCTGTTGTTTTAGCTGTATAAATGTCAGAGTATTTAAATTAATTAAACGTTTTCAATTTCGGTTCTTGTTTGAAAATTGGATGCTTTATAAGTTTAACCATAACAGTTTTTTGAAGTTAATCAGTTGAATTTAAGTTATGTTGAATGTTTATTTGGGAAGTCGAACAATATTTTTTTTTATTACAAATAAAATGGATTTTTCCTAGCCACTGTACTTCCAACATGACGTAATAAAAAATTATACTTTTTGTTTTACTCGTGTGTTCTGAGCTAGGAGTAATTTTATACAACATCTTAGGTCAAAAAGGTCGCTATTTAGCTGTATGATTTAAAGATAACCGTAAAACATGTCTCTGAACTCGCATGATAGTATTTTACGATGAATAAATAGCTTTGAAAGAAGGTTCTCCAATGCATAGCCTCAGAGACCTATCCTTGTTCAGTATCAGATCACATAGTATCCACATTGGCAAGCTTTTAGACATAAGCTCTACGATCTAACCACTATTCAACGAAAGTGTGCCTTTCAAGGAAAATTAATTCCAGGACGCTTTTTGTGTATTTGGAAAGTAGTAAGGAAGAGATACTACTTTATCGTTTCATTAGTACAGTATTTTGAGTCACACTATCTTCGCTTGCCAAAAGCATAGACGCACTAAGAACAATTACCGATGTATTTGACTGGTTTCACAGAAAATGTTATAGCATAAGATTCACCAAGTTGTCCAGGCTATCGCGCTATCATATAAGATATCACAGCAAGAATTTATTCTACAGCAATAACAGTGGAAGTCTATTTGAAAACTGGAAATCTGGAAGGAGTTTGGGATTCTCACCCAACAGCGGTTTTGTTTGCAGGAGGGAAATTGTAGGACGAATTCGCTCACAAAGCTCGGCGCCAGGATACATTCCCAAGCGGTTGCCAGGGCAACGCTTAGGTTCGCCTCGAGAGGTAAGGAGCCCTTGAGGAGAAGGAAAATCTATAGACTCAGCTGTCAACGACGTAGATGGTGAAAACCGGGGGAAATTGATTAAATATGGATATCTTGATGCAAAACTGTATAGAATAGGTAAACGGAGGAAATTTCAATATCGCAAATTGTAAAATTTGAATGATTTAGAATGAACATAATATTCACCATAAACCTTGAGCTATTGCGTAGAAACACCCGTTTTATAGTCAGTTGCCTTAAGGAAGTTCTCAATATGCGATAGAGTTCTCTGAAGTTGAAGAATTTCAACACAAATGTATTGAAACAATTTTGGGTTTGCTTGGATCGTAATTACTCACTTGTAAAAACAGTCATTTAATACAATATTTGAAGATGTATAAAATCCTAACTAAATTATACACCAAGCTACCTATCCCTAACAATACACAGTTAGTTAGGTATGGTAAGAAGTATACGGTTGAAAGTTGATCATAACTACCATACTTTATCTTATTGTTGGAGCACGTTAATTCTCATTTACCAACATTAGCATTATCTATGTAATAATGCCACTGCTTGGTGGTTCGGAGCCCACCTTAATCTGTAGAAAAGAAAAGATAAGCCCTTCAGGTATAACTGCTATACCTCGGTATTGGAGAGGAGATATCACACCACCGCCATAAAACGTCTAATTAATTATTATCTCTTTATACAAACATTTTTCTATATAATCAACTAAGTTTCAACGACTTAGTTCTACGCTACGCCAAACTATAGAAATATGCAGAATATTGGACGCTCAATACCGTATGAACTTTATCTTTTAGACATCACTGCACGTATAATCCAAATATATCCAATATTTACAATTCTAGTTATACGAGAAAATAGTTCAGCTGTAGGATGTTTCCAAAAAAATACAATCCTGGACTGATATTTTTATATAGTTAACCTAATCCAATTTACCTTTGGTGCATAAACATGTTTTGAAAGGTGTTCAATCGAAAATGTTGGATTTGACGGTTACTTTAACTAACTTGTAATCTTCTATCTATCTATCTATCTATTCTATAATATTAAAACGAATCAGGGTTTTTTAAATTCACGATTCTGAATCAACCACTCGACGGATTTTCATGATTTTTGTGTTGAAAGAAAGATAATTTTGAGAACTAGGGAATGTCGAAGCCATAATTTTAGTTTAGGGTCCCAGCTATTTAGAAATTAAGTTTTAATTTTTGAAAAGTCTAGCAGCCGACGCTATGATTCTAAACTAGCTTTTGGTGTAGTAAATTTGTTTAACATAACAGCTGTAAACATTCAGCGTTTATAACACAAATTCAGCATTTGGATAAAATTAAAAGACATACTAAGGGTTGACTTATTTACACTATGTGTAATGCTAATCATTGATACGTTCAATCCTTCGATAAGAGGATGACAGATTATTTAAATATACAAAGGTAAATACTAGGATGTTCAAAGGATTATTTAAATAAATCTTTGCAATCTTCGGTTTGTTTTAGTGCAACATAATTTTCTTTTAACTAACAGCTGGTTAAATATAAAAATGCTCTGTAGAACTATGAGGTTATTTAAACAAGTTAAACAAAGAATTTTTAAATGTTACACAGCAAGTTTGGTTAGTTATGTTAGGTTATTTTTTTTAGAACAGTTTCATTTCATTATTGTTTGTTGATACTGAACAAAATTTATCGTAGTTGTCAGCTGATATGTTTCAATTTGTTAATATCGATATATCGAGAGAAAAATCATCGATAATAATGAATGTTCCCTTTAACAGGAAAGTAACGGTTATTTTATTTACTCTGATTTGTCATTCATTTTTAGGAAATTAGTAAGATTAGTAGACCACCGAGAAAAGTAACACCATCGATGTATACAAGTCGAGGCTCTGTACACGAGTCTTAAATAAACGGTATCAGCATTCTGACACATACTTTCTCCCATAAGTTTGTCAACAACCTTTATCATGTGTAAGCGGTGAGAGTAAATATACGGAAATGGGATTTGTACAATTTTGTTCAGAACTTAAAGGAATATAACATGTTAAATTTTTATCAAAATCGTTCGGGCCATTTTTGGGAAAATCCGATTTTTCTGTTATTTAATGAGGGTTTTATGGGAAAATGACATAATTTACAATAACTTTTGAACCGTAATTTTTACAGAAATGGGATTTGTACCATTTTGTTCAGAATATAAAGGACTATGACATACTAAATTCTTATCAAAATCGTTTGGGCCATTTTTGGGAAAATCCTATTTTTCCGTTTTTTAATGGGGTTTTATGGGAAAATCCCTATTAAAAATAAAAATTTCTAAAATATTAAAAAAAATCTATTAAAATTGTAAGGACTATAACATACTATGTTAAATCAAAACCGTATTTTTTTCTAAAATCCTATGTTTCGTTATTTTATGGGGTTTTTATGGGAAAATAACATATTTGACCATAACTTTTGAACCGTAATTTTTACAGATATGGGATTTGTACCATTTCATTCAGAATTTAAAGGGCTACAACATACTAAATTTTTATCAAAATCGTTCGGGCCATTTTTGAGAAAATCCGATTTTTCCGGTTTTTTATGGGTTTTTATGGGAAAATCCCCATGAAAAATCAAAATTTCAAAAAAATGAAAAAAACGCCTGGAGATACCATAGATTAGAACCTACATGCCAAATTTCATCGAAATCGGACCACAGGTGTAGTCTCTAGCTCTGTACACATCCAGACACACAGACACACACACACACACACACACCCACACATGTTTGTAAGAGGACCTCGATTGTACTAAGTGCGGCGGAACCATCACAACCGAGGTACTCGAGCACAATCATCATGATCGGGGACTTCAAACAAAAATCCGTATTACATTAAAAATAATATATTTAATTTTTTGTAAACGCTTTAGTATAACTTAAGATGCATAATATAGTACGTTTATGCATTTTTTTGAATTTTATCGATGACTTTAAAAATGTCAGTCCAATGCACGAAAACGAGGTCCTAAACACTTTGGCCCTAATAAGCATAATCGAGGACCTAACTACTTTGGGCCCAGTTAGCATAAACGAGGACTTCTGAATTAAGTTTAGGATTTCTGTTATATGAGTGTGTCCCCCCAGTGTCCGGTGTCAGAACCGGCATTTCAGGTAGGCCACAGTTATGGACGACTGGGCAAGCCAGAATCTTTGGGTTGTACCCAAAGAGAGAGTCCCCAGTGATATTCCTCCATCCAGGTTGGGGGTGTTCAGCTCTGCAAGACTTCGGTCTATCATCTGCCTGTGGCTGTGGTTCTTTGGGACTTGCCCTGCCTGATGTGTACG